AGTTTGTCTCAGCCTTCCATCCTTCCGAGGTGGGTGAAATGAGGACCCGGATTGTTGGGGGCGATATGCTGACTCTCTGTAAACCGCTTAGAGAGGGCTGAAAGCCTTATGAAGCGGTATATAAGTCGAACTGCTATTGCTATTGCTATAATGTATGCTTGTTAATTTGTGTATAAGACTAAAAATAAACTAAAAAAAATAGTAAAAAGCATTAAAATGGTAAAAAAAGAACCATTAAAACATCAAATGCGAAGTGCAGACCAAAGCAGCCTATCTGGACCTTGAACAATGCAGCCGGGGGGAGGGGAGGGGAGGGGGGGCTTGGCGCATGTAGCAGCCCAGGAACAGAGCCGGGTTTTTAGAGCTTTGCGGAAGGAGAACGGGGGCCGCTGAAGAAAAGGCGCTGCAGGTTTGGTGCCGGTTTCTAACGGCTGGTTGCGTTGTCAGTTTGCAGGAGGGCTCCTTCCTTTTGACTCACCTGGCGGGAGACTCCTCAGTGTCCATCTACAAGAGCTCGGATGGAATTGCCACGCGGGCAATGTACAACCTGCACGCCGCTCACGCCGACCTGCCCCCCGCCCCGGCTGCCCTCTCTGTGCCCTGGGTGCCCCTGGACCCCAACATCCCCCTGCAGCATCACTTTGCCCAGGGCCGTGTCCCCTGCACCTTCCCACCCGTGGCAGACGGCGCCAGTACCACCAAGGTGAGAAAGGGTTGTTTGGAAAAACTACTTAGGGTTTGTGTCAGCCCCCCCACCCTTTTTTTAAATTACAATACCTTTCCAGAGATGTTAGTTTTCAAAGTGGGCTTCCTCATCGCCTTTGAAAGTAATTCCAGAAGACATTTGAGTATTTTTTTTCAGGAGTTCTGCAAATAGAGAGAAGTCTTAGAGAGCAGGGGTGTCCCATCTTGGAAGCTGTAAGACTTGTGGACTTCAACTCCCAGAATTCCCATGGCTGGCTGAGGGATTCTGGGGGTCTTAGAGGCTGGAGACCCCTCTCCTAGAGGTTAGAATAGAATAGAATTAAAGTTGGAAGGGACTTGGGGGGATTTAACATATCCTTCCTTTGTCCTCAATTTTAGATGGATGGATGGATGGATGGATGGATGATAGATAGGTAGGTAGGTAGGTAGGTAGGTAGGTAGGTAGGTAGGTAGGTAGGTAGGTAGGTAGGTAGGTAGAATAGACAATCTATGATTTCAAGAATAGGG